ATGGCTAAAAATCAGTTTGCAACATGTGCTCATCCATATTCAGTTCTTTCAATTGAGGCAAATCTTGCCCAGAAAAAATAAATAAATAAAAAGAGATAGGTTTGAAATCCACATTTGTTCCTATATTTTGATTCTTTGATTGTCAAATGTTTACTTGTTGATAATATACAACTCGCTGCATCTGAAAATCAATATTCAAAAGACAGCTTCAAACAAGCATATATCTAAAGTGAAGTAAAATTGTCAATACATCAAACCAACAAATAGGGACAGCCTCAATTTGTTTAAGATGCAATGGTAGAGCATTTAAAAAACACACCTGTAGTGTTATCAATGTCAAGAATGCTGAAGAAAACAAAGGTTGAAGAAGTAGAGCCCAGGACTAACAAGAGCAGTGCAATGGTAACACTGGTTGAACCTCTGGGTCTGTCAATTAGCTTCCAGATTTCATGTGAGAGAATACTGAAAACCACAAGTTAAGGACTAGAATTTTGAGATTCCTCTCAATTAAACTTTTAAATGATATTTAATATTGCAATAACTAGTTCATAAGCTTATTAACTTTTTAAATCAAAATCCAAAAAGCTTAAAAAAGATGAGCCTGTCCCCCGTAATCTCCATCTCTAGAAGCATGTAATTTTACCAGTGATTGGGTTCTTTGACGTACATACAATAATATTTTACGTATTCAGTCCCTATTTTTTTGAAAATACACAAAAAATCAAGTACTGCAGAGTATGCCAATGAATTCCAGTGAGTGGAAGTAGCATAATTTATTTTAGTTCCCTGTTCTTGGACATTTAGGTTATTTTCATTCTTTTCCTGTTAAAAATCAAAGTCCCAGTAAATAGTTTTATGCATATGTCACTTGTATACGCCAAAATACCTATAGAGTAAATTGCTGTAAATGTAACTGTTGAGTCAAAATATACTATCAAAATTTTGAGAGATATGGCCTTCATGCCACAAATGCACACAGAGGCGTAAGTATCTATACCTATATAGTACCTGTCGCCTTTGCTAACAGAAAGTGCTATTAAGCATTTTGCTCTTTGCCAAGCCAACTGGTAAAAAGTGACATTTCAGGATAGTTTCCATTTTTCTATCTCGTGATGGATTGGGTTGAGAATCTCATCTGTGTTTTAGAAACTGACCCCTAAGAACCTGGGCTATCTTATTTCTGGGAGGCAGCAACAGACTACAAGGTGGAGAAGGGTAATCAAAGTATTTCTAACCATTTCCACTGGTTTCAGCACGTGTTTCTTATGGTGGCTGTACCTTTCCATAACTTGTCCTCTGTCTTCCTCTACTCCAGCTCTGAGTTTTTGTGACCTCATTTTCTCTGTTTGTAGTCTTCGTCTCAGGGATTGTAACGGCTTCCTGCTCTTGCTGGGCTCTTAAGTGTCACACCAGCCCTCCTGTGTCCCCTGAATCAGACCCTGCCTCTTACTAACCACTCTTCATTTGAACCATCTGGGAAGAGAGTTGCTGTCCTTTTGTTTTGTTTTGTTTTGTTGTGACAGTAACATACCACATCTCTTGACTGTTTTTCTAGTGTTGATCTGTTCAGGTTGATTTGATAAGAGCTCATAATTCATGTGTAAGAGAAAAATTTTCTGTAAATTTCCAGATAGTAAATGTTTCCCACTTGGTAGGCCAAGAGGTCTCTGCTTCAACTCCTTAATTCTGCTACTGTAGGGTAAAAGTAGTCACAAACAATATGCAAAAGGATGAGTTTGGCTGTACTCTAATAAAATCTGATTTATAAAAACAGGCAGCAGGGTAGATGTGGTTTGAAGCTCTACTGCCATCTCAGTATTAAGGAAATTATCCTTTCTCTATAATATTAGATGCAATCATTTTTCTTTCAGTTTAGTTTTAAATTTTTCTTGTCATGGTTTTGCCATGCAAAGATTTTTTATAATTTTTATTTTAACATACTAGTATTTATCTATTTATCAGGTCTGGTTTTTATGTTATAATTATAGAACAAAAAATAAAACCACAAAGAACTCGAGGAAGAAAGATGGCATCTTAAGGTGAATCTGTTATCCTGAATCATCATAATGAGACCACTACTCACTTTTCTAAGTCTTAATTATTAGAATCTATTTCTCATACCTTACAAAATCTTCCAGAAGAAGCTGATGCAGCCTGATTGAAGCAGAAGTTCCTACTTTCAAGACATCCCAGACCTGCTTCTCTAAGCATTCTATAAGTTTTAAAAGTTTTCTATATTGTACATGTGGAACAATTCCAAGAATTTTCCATTCTGGCAGGCCTTATGCATTCCCAATATTATTCTGATACCAGAGACAGGGTAACGTCTGCTGTAGTTTCTTCTTATTAAGGGATCTCTCAGTGATTTCATTCAGACCAAATTTTGGTTTCTGCATGATTTGAAGTAAATTTTGTTGTGGTCTTCTACAAATATCTTGGTAGAAATATTGTACGTAGAAATAAAGAGATAGTAAAATAACACCAATTTAAATATCTATTAGTTTCATAAAGTACTTGTACATTTTTTTCTCTAAGGGAAAAAAATGAAAACATTGGACATTCAAGTCAGATGTTTGAGTTTGATATTTTAAAATTGTAGTTAGCTTTCCTTAATTTCTTGTGTGATGGAGAAGCAGAGCTGCCAGCACAAAACAGACTGGAAATTTGAAAGTTTCAGCATGAATTTACATCCTAAGAAATACATACAGCCATGAGTAATAACAATTTAGATTTCTTACTCAGGTTATTTTTGGAAATCTTTGAAATTATGGTTGATTGCTCTGTCCATAATAAAACACTGTATTTAGATGTTTTTCTATAAATAGATGTACATTTACTTCTATGTTCATCCATATGTAAGCTGTAGATATAGTCAGACATATATTTACGCATTTCATTATATTGCCTATAAAATTCACAGTAGAAAATGTATATTTACTGCCAGCTCAAAGCCTCATGAAGTACAGGTGAGGCTTTTTCAGAGGTGACTAAATCTAGAGTGTGTGATGCTGAGATTAAGGTTGTGTGATTTAGTAATGGTGCACTAATTGATTTGGCCTTGCTCTAATCCTGGTAGCCTAGATACAACACAGAGACAGAAAGGGGTTCATCGTCTCGCTTGCTTGCTTGCTCTTGCTGTCTTCAGCTTGCCATGAACTGTCTCTTCTGAAATCCCCCTCTGCCAAGCAACTCTGCCTTGAAGCCAGCCTTTTGTAGACTAAAATTTCTACAACCTACGAGCTAAATAAGCCTTCCCCCCTGTTAACTTTGGGTGCCAGATATTTTGTCTCAGCAATGAGGAAAAGTAATGTTTACCAAAGCCAGCATGTGAAACTGACGTGGTTAAAATAAATGCAGCTTTGGGGGTAAAGACACAGTATAATAAAAAGTACATCTAAGACTTTGAAACGTGGCCACATATTACTATACGTATATTCCTCAAAACGACCCTGTAACCTTCATGTCTCCATACACTAACTGATTCAATGAATTCTACCAAAAGCCACACATTCAAGAATGCCATGTAGGATTAAAAGAGTAGGAGGAACTGATAGTGGCTGAGTTGAGTTACAAGATGACAAGCATCAGTTATGTGATGATAAAAGATGAGAACTGTCACAAGGGAAGCTGTGACAGAGGTTTTCTCAATTGATTAGGTCACGTTGTAAGGGAGGCAAGGTCACAGGTTCAATTCCCTCTTCACCAATTACTTTTATTATATTTCAAAGAAACAGAGCAGGGCTGAGAGCCCTCAACATCTTACCACTAGATCAAAAGAGATAAGAGAAGAAAAAAGTAGCTGAGCTCAAATTCATTCCAAGCACTGGCAAGGTAACAACATTAAATCAGGGTGGATGAGAATCACTGTCTTAGTATAAATTATTGTTAATGTCCAACATGACATGAGATCACATAAAATCACATAAGATATTTCTACTGCGTAGCACTGAGCTGATTTAGTTATCCTTCCAAGATCCTATAACAAAACAGAAAGAGTATTCATTTTTCAAAAAGATGTATTTCAATGTTTGGTATCACACAGACAACCACAATACTAACACAGGAAGATTAAAAAGGGTTTCTTTAATATGAAATTTAATTAACTCCAAACAGAAGGGTTAAAGAAACAGGAAAACTGCCGGGAATACAGCTTTCTGGCATTCACATCTCACTATCACAGCTCATGTATAAATCACCTCAGTTTAAGAAAAGCTATGCTTATCATGTTCTTACAAGACAGAAACTGGGGTTTGAAATGGCACTGACCTAGAGTTTCACCACTCTTACACAAAAATATTTCAATAAAGCTGACACTGCCCTCTGAACACTGCTTTCTGATAGGAATTTGCCAAATTAATCCAAAATCCTGCTACAAAGAGAAAAGCCATCTGAATTCAGCCACATTAGGATAAATTCTTGTGGTATCAAGGTTCTTACTAAGGGCTCGTATTAAACCAACTCCTCGAAACTTCCCCAGTTCCAGTTGGCTGGGGTAAGGGGCTAGAAGAAGAGCTATGTTCCCAGGGTACCCCTATTCCTTGCTGAAGCCCCATCAAGCATCTATATGCGCTTAGAAAAGTCACTTGCTGAGCTCCTTTACCTTCTTTCATTTGAAAATATTTTGAAAATTTCTCTACTCTGATTCTTCAATTCCTACTGAGTTCTAAAATTTTGTTTTAAAATCTATACTTCATTGACTTTACTACATCTTAATATTTACTGCTTAGAATTCTGTTGTAAAATACTGCACACATAGTAAATAACTACAAGACAGATTGCTGTGCCTTTTCAATCTCTGATGTATAATTTCTGAAAAATTCCATGGCAGAACAAAGATAGACGCATGTATCAATCTTAGAGCGAAAATAGTCTTTCAGAATGAAAGCAAAATGAAAAGATTGGATGCTACTTGCTTCTCTCTTCCCAAATATAGTTTTCAAATGGAGAATGAATAGGAGGTTTACCAGAATATAATACTAATAATTCAAGAAGCATATAATGTGTTCAGTTCAGCAGCATATATACTAACATTGTAACACTACAGTAAGGAGAAGATTTGCTTGACCCCTACACAAAGATAACCCCTAACTTTGTAAAGTGTTTCATATTTTTTGTTACAGTTAGGAGCAAGAAGTTATGGTGTCCTATTATATAATACTGTGATGATGACAAACAATAAAAACTTACATATTTCAAAAATGCTAGCAGAAAGCATATTGAAAGCTTTCTCCATAAAGAAATGATAAATATTTGAAGAGATATGATTAACCTAATTTACATGTTATCTGTCTATACATACACACACATAATCAGAACACCACATTTTATTCCATTAATACATGTAATTTTAATATTTTAACATTTAAGAGTCTATTGATTCCACAGATTAGCTCTATCTCATTCACTACCTTTCATATCTAAAACAGCTAACCGGAATCAAAATATTTAAGAATTTCTGATAATCCACACAGAAGTTCATAATCTACCAAAGTCTTACCATGCAGTGTTGCCTTTTAATTAAAAAAATACTGTATTTCCTGAATGCATACTATGTAGAGCATTATAAAAGGAAATCCGTTAAAATACTATTGTTCTGAACACAAAATGTTTGCATACCACTATTTATATTCAGAAAAGTCCAAAAGTAAGTATTGTACATTTTAAAACTCTATCTCGGGATGGAAACAACAATACCAAAGTAAGATGATTATTTTAATACAGGAAAATGGCTTTAAACAGAGAAAACTGAATGAGACACATGTGCAACTTTCGGTCTTTGGCCAGATAATGGGATAAAAATAAATACACAAGTTCTCCTGCAAGGCATCGGCTTATTGTAAAGAATCAGGGCTGACTTGGAACAAGATACTGGATGATAATTTGATAAATGACATTTACCTTTAAAATGTGATTAAACAGCATTTATAATGAACATGCTTAGAAAATGATGAATAATGTATTCTATGTGCAGCAAACGATAATAGAAAGTGATTGTCTGAGGGGGTAGCTTTCCACTGGCAGCTGCCCAAAGCCATTACAGTGTGTTTTCTCCTTTTCATGAGCATGGAGTCAGAACTCCGCCAGAGGCAAAAATCTGAGTGCAGAAAGTAGACTACAGAATGATTCCTAGGACCACCAAGGGAAGGAAAAGCCCCGTAAACATTCATTTAGGAATACTCAGGATGAACTAATACTTCTAAGATGTCTTTAGGTGGTTCTGCGGAGAAAGGGCAGATGCGCTTTGCTTTTGTCCCAGACCTTAATGAGGTTCTATTTGCAACCTATTTAGTCTAAGACTTCTATTTTAAAAATGGAAAGAAATCATTCTGCAAAATAATATGTATTTCAACTTTCTTCTAACAGTTTCATAAAAAATTAAAGACAGACCTAATTTGAATGATTCACAGTACACTTTTCTAAATTAAGAATTCATTGTAGAAAAAACTTCATTACTGGTTCTTAGTGTAAATTATAATGACTCATAGGCCAATTAATTGGAAATAACTTAAACAAGTTTCTATCCATGCACACCAACCTACGTGTTCTGGATAAACACACTACTGTCAATACCACAATAAAAATTTGGACTCCACATAAAACAGAGATATTACACGATGTCTATTTTACCTCCAGAGACATGTATATTAAACAGTAAATGATGGTACCAGATTAAAGTATCTCATATAAATGAGTGATATGGGCCCAAAATTTTATAGGCATATGAAGAGAAAACTAATTTTAAAAAAGTAGGACTCTATCTCATGTTTGATGGAGATGTTAGAGGACAGTGGTCACTGAGGAAAAAAATACATATGAACTAAAGTCCAGCCTTTTACCAGTATACAATTTTATGAAGCACGCTCTATTACAATCAAGACTGAAGAAGAGAGGTAATGAGGTCCCATATGTATATGTGTGCAACAAATGAGGTCAATAAATAAGTCTGGTAAGAACATGAGGAAAACCATTAAAATAAGATAAAGACAATTTAGTACAATTCAATAGCAAATATGTATAATGCTAAGTGGTGAAATGTTAAAGCCAGTTTTATTGAAATTGTACAGGGTACAATTAATTCAAAAATATTAACTCTTTAAAAATATTGCTTTTCTTCTGGGAGAACATGGCAGATAGATAGCAGCAGCTACAGAGGCTCTCTGAGATACCCCACTTAGAATCCAGGAATGGTGTGGTATGAAGAGCACTAAGCAAGGGGAGATATACCCTGCTGACCTAGGAATAAACTAAGCTAAGAAAAACCAACTGGAAATGCAATCCTGGTGCTATAACAGGAACAGATAAAATCTCAGCATGGAAGCTGGAACCCACGCCACTGGAAGCCGCGATTTGAATTTCCTGCTGCTGCTGCTGCGTCCAAATCAGCATGGCAGGATGAGAGACGCGTGAAAGCTCTGAGAGTGGGAATCAGCGAATGGAATTGACAGTGGGACTGACAGGGAGCCCTGCATCAACCTGCGGTGAGTGAGCGGAACGGGGACCCTTCCATACAGTAGGAGGCTCCAGCAAAGGACATAACTGAGACCAGGCAGACTTGCCAGAATAGGATGCTGCAGTAACTTTAGTCGCATATTCCCCTCTCAAGTGGGATTGGTGGGGAGTGCCTGACCTGGGTGACACCGCTGACTAAGACCCAGTAAGCTAGCTGTAACCAAGTCATAGCACCTGGAGGTGCACCCTAGCAGTGAAGCCTCAGGTAGGTTGACCTGGAGGGGTGGGCCCAGCAGAGGCTGCCCAGTTCTGTGTCTCCCTAGTACACTGCAGTGGGTGGGAACAACTAGCCAGTGTAATTCAAACAAACTGTAACAGACAAAGAGAAAAAAACTGGGTCTCTTATATTTGCTTGTATGGTAGGAACAAAAAGTATGGAAAGAGGAAGCAACAAGAAAGGGTCCTCAGTCCCCAATCCTGAGAACACTGATCCAGGAAAGGGAAATGCAAAGGAGGACAGAAAACATGCAATATCAGACACGGCACCAATAGACATAAAGCGATATCTCCAGAGCCTCATAGATGAGTTTAAAAATGAAGTATTTAACAAAATAAAGCAAGATATAAATAGAATAGTTAGAGAAATGCTAAGCACCACCCAAGAAAAAACAGACGGTGGAATGGAAGAACAGAAAAAAAGGGGAGAATTGTTTGATGGAGAAAATAGAGAAAACATAGAGTATATGAAGCAGGTTCAAAGAGATTACCAGGAAACTACAAATACTATTGAAAGCTGGCATAACAACTTGAAAGAAACTAAGGATAGATTATCTGAATTGGAGGGCAGATTTGTAATGTGGGAGCATGAAATGAAAAACTTCTTAAAAATAACAAGAAAACAAACAGCAATAATATAAAGGCTTGAAGATGATAAGAGGATCTATAACTTAAGAATTAAGAACATAAAAGAAGAAGTAGGGACACAAACAAATGGACTACAAAAGCTATTCACAGAAATAATCCAAGAGAATCTTCCTAATTTAGCAAAAGGTAAAGATACTCAGAGATGTATGAGGTATACAGGACCCCAGCCACCTAAAACCCAAACAGAACTACACCCAGGCATATAATAATCAAAATTCCAGAAATCCAATGAAGAACAGAATATTAAAAGCCGTCAGAGACAAGAAACAGATCACTTACAAGGGAACACCCATCAGAATTACAGCAGACATCTCAGAACAAACCATCAAATCATGAAGAGTGTGGGGGAAAATAATTCAAGCTTTGAAAGATAACAGCCTCCAGCCAAGACTGATATATCCTGCACAACTGTCCCTAGAAATTGATGGAAAAACAAGGTGCTTCCAGGATAAAGAGGAACTAGGGGAATATGCAACCACCAATGCAACTCTAGCAGGATATTCTAAAAAAGGAAAATACCAAGATTCCAGAAACAGTGGCAGAGAGGCCACAATGAATGGAGCAGAAAGCAAAATGAAGAAGACAAACTGACAACAAACGACAGAAAAAGAGCTCAACAGAAATGAGGCAGAGAAGATTGGATGGTAGGAACAGCTATTTTGGAGAAAACAAGACATCATAATAGCTAGTGCTGATTTAATATCATCTTGTTTTGAAGTCCCATAAAGCTTTTATTCTTCTGTCTCCATCGGTCTTAACAGGTTGTATCTTACTGGATTTTATTATATGTGATAATACAAGCAAAAACTTTTATAGACAAGGAGATTATACAGAAACCATTGTTCATTTTCTGATAGTTGGTTCTAAATACCCTGTAATACTGTCATTCTCTTTAATGGTTTTACATTGTCTTGATATGTTTGGTGCTACAGTATACGAAGTTATACTCAACGATTTCAAGGAAAGAGACACTATGGTAACTATTTTTATGTCAGGACATCTTGTGGTGAAACACTGTTTTGCTTAAATGGTTATGCTTTGACCCGCATTGTTTTGTTGTTATGCCCTCTTTTATCTCAATCTCTTTTTTAAAAATTATTTACTTTTTTATTTTTACCTTTTTAATTAAGGTAAATTAGAAAAATAAATAAAAAATAGCAGGATACATTAATGTAACTCATTTTCATTTCCTATTAACTTGATTTGAAACCCTGTATTGCCCTCACCAACTTGTTTTGACTGATTTTCCTCTATTCTGCTTTGCTTGATAGTACCAAGTTCGAAAGTATAGGCAACAACTGTGAAGACAATAAGATTCATTATGATTCAATAAGACCATTCTGGTTGACTATTATCTTCTTTTAAAGTCCTGTAATGTCTCCAATGTTTTGGTTTTATTCTTTACTGTTTTGTTCAATTTTATTCTAACTGATGATATAGGCAATTCTTTTTAAGATAGCAAGAGGCAATATGGTAACCATTGTTGATCACCTAGGATTTTGTTTTTACATTATCTATTATGCCCATCCTTTTGATTTGACTGACTCAGGTCACATCTGGTTTTACTCTCTTCAAATAAAAGTAATAAGAACTGTGAGAGCAATAAAGCCCAAAATGTGTAATTATCATTGTATAAAAGAAAGGAAAAGAAAGTGCTTTAAAGGATACAATTGCATATATATTTAAGTGTATAAGATAGACAACCATATTACTGAGTTTTGTTGGATCATTGAACAACA